TGTGTTAGTTCTTCAGGCTATCGCTAAGGGAGATCATGTTTCTCTTTGCGTGGATAACCGTTCACTTTCATAAGCATAGGCGGGCTTATTAGTAAACCGGTTACAGAGGCAGTAATCTTCATCGTCCATAGCACGGTCGTTTTTTGGTTGATTTGGAGAAGACAAGACCGAGCATTAAAGTGAGAAATTGAAGAATCTGGGTGAGGGGGAAGGGTAAAAGATGGACATGATGGCGGACTCGAATGATGATGACAGATTATTGGGGAAGTTCGAGTGTTAAGTGAGACTCATATACGATAAGGTTTCGATTAGCTCTGCATGAGAATGCCTCTATCTTACCTTCATTCAAGATCCCTACTCTACTTGCACCCGTGTGATGGTTCCTACACATGATTTGACTGGTGAGTCATTTTTCGAATTACATGAGCCTGCATAAAATTAAGTTGGCGGATGGGTCAGTAAAGTAATAAATAATTGTTCTTAAATCTTAATCAAGCAAACGTGAGTTTAGCAACTTACTGTGAATCTTCAAAACTTTTTGTGCAAGCTTCAACTATCGATTAAAAAGGGAAACCGTGATTTGGTTCATCACTGGTCGAAGCTTGAATATAATTATGAGTAATGAGCTGCAGGAGACCTGGAGAAGGGAACGACAACTAAGGAAAATAGCTTATCTGATTGTTAATTCTTGCATGACGGGGACTAATATCGGTAGTGGCAAAAGACTGACCAACTTGGTAAAGAAGATACACCGGCTACCGTACCAAAGCAAATTTTAATGATCGCTACTTGATATTATAAGTTGACCCACCAAACAAGTCAAATCTCTAGAATATCCTTGCCTCCCCTTTATTTTACAGAGAAGTTCTGCAATATGCGGTAGGTTGCAAAGCACTCTTGACTTTCTTTCTGGATATCACAAAACGCCCAGCTGCTCGGTGAAGAATTTCAGTTACACTTTGGAGTTTTATGAAAATATGAGAAAGTCTAGCTGTGCAAACTTTAAGGATACCCCTACGCCTTCACGATATTGCGGATTTGTCTCACATGTTGGGAAAAGCTTTGAAACTACCCTAGTAATCTCAACTTATTATGGGTGTACCCCACTGACAGAGGGTAAGTTTTTACTCATACTTTTAATTTTTCCTGATTTTGTATAAATGTTTTTTTTGTCCAAGGGCTAATTTGTAAATGTACCCTTGATGTATACTGATACTGCGAGCATGTCCCATCGTCTAAGGACAAATTGAGGAACCGCCTATGAATTTCACCAGTATTATGAAAACGTCCCTCCATCAAAGTACAGACTAGCAGATACAGGAGAGCATCCCATTGAGTTTCTGTGGGACAAATGTTCAAACTCATCCTATACTAATTTTATTTTAAATTACTTTATTTACATTGAGTACTATCAAACCTCATACTATGAATCGCCACGTTGAGTAGGAGCACCCCATCTACACAGAGATATTACCAATGAGCTCCGTACTCAGAATTACGGTGTTGGGCATGAAACAAATATCACACTCAGATTTATCGCGGGGAGTACGGACAAGCCTCGTGCTTAAGTCTGCCGTTTTGAGCACGGACCTCGCTTCGTGTTCGGAGTTATCATGTTGAGCGAGATCAGACGCTAAGTCGAAAAACAATGTATTGAGCACGAACAAATTGTGAACATAGAGCTTTCGCACCCAACATGAACGAATTGTATTCATAGGACTTTCGTATTGAGCACAGAGTAACTTGGTTGCTGACCTCATGGCAAACGGGCAGATCTCGTATTTGGAGTCCTTGTGAAAGTATTTTTTTTAGTAACACCCTGGTAAGGTCTACGTCTGATATAGACCAATGACTCTTAACAATTTGCACAGGCTATGCACGAGCGGTTGTTCTTATTGCATTTAGTTTCGACAAACATTTTATTTTGTATTTTTTTGGCACTCGGGATCTGTACTCAGCAACAAGATATTTGTTGATAAATTTAGCAATGAGGCATTCTCAGATAATCTCTTCCATAATCACAAGCATCAGACAGCCTGATCTCAACATATCTAGACGTTGGAAGGCAAACAAATCTCTCTGTGCTATTAATTCAATCAAAAACTATTGCAGGCAAGGTGTGGAAAAGTAAAACACGTACAACAGAGATATTCTCATAATGTCGAGCACTCTCTATCGAGACAAAGCAGAAAATTGGGTGAGTGAATTATCTGATGAGATCGAAACCTATAAGAGGATGCACAAAGATGTTGTACTCGGGAGAGTAAGGAATCGACACAAATTCATAGAGTATGTGTTCTACATCAATGGGTCCGATGGGAAGCTGCTCAACACAATCTCATCCCTTGAGACTGTTCAAAGAGCAAGAGAGGTAATCAATGCTCAGTGGGCTTAGACCGGAGCAATACCTACCCCTGACTCTTCAAGGATCCTTTGAGGAGCCAACTTCAGCAACAAAGCATCTTTACATTAAGCATCATCACCAACTGTAGACAACAATCAGCTCTCTTGCATCCAACAACACTAATGGTATCAGTTCAGATAGATAATCGTTTACAGAGTTTTGAGGGACCTCAGGATATCCACTAATTACCTCGGCCCAGTTACCCTTAGCAGTTTTAGAGTAAACTGTCTCATACTTCCACAATAGAGATCAGCAATCATAACTAATCATCACATGGTCTTTATCAATCTATTCTCAGACCAACATCAAACAATCAGTGCTTTCATCAGAGATATTCAGATCAGTTTCAGTACCCATCTTGGCACATGAGTACAATTCACCGATTTCCGGTCAGCGGGTCAATCTTGACCAATCTCAACAGGATAGCTTCCAAGGATGCTTTCCATTACCAGTATGTCAGTGCAGTTGGGTTCAAACAAGAAGATCCATCAATCTTTGTTGTCCTCACTGAGTTCATAGAGGGAACTATCCAAGATCTGAGGATCTATGTGAAGAAGGGAAAGGAGACTCATGAGCACTTTGACTCTGTTTCGGTTACAGAAGCCCAGTATGTTGAAGAGAGAGCACGAGTGCTTCAGGAAGGTGTAAAGCTGATTCATAGCTTTGGTCCTAAGCTATACACTGACTATTCTAAGCCTCCGATCCCTTTCTACCTCATTGATGGCTCTTGCTAGGTTGATCTCGTTGGCCTGGCCAAAAGGTATGTCTCACCAATAGAGATTGACTATGTGGCTGTGACTGAACCATCTGAGTTCCGACACCTCAGACGAGGGATCTTCTCCATACCATATCTCCCAACTCTGTGGGAGGAGTTTTGTGTTATGCTTGACTTCAGAATCTTTGGTCCCGGATGGACCTATTCCAAACAAAATGGATCCTTAAACTCTTAACCAGCTCCAAACTTCCTTGGAGACACCTGGCAATGGAGGGATTTCAGCAACTACCGGTTTACACCACACAGGGTACCTTATGGTTGATGAGCAAATCGTGGTCGTTAAGAGGCAGAACTTCGTAGGCCATACAAACAAGGAGACATCCTGGACTTCACTTTTGGAAAGAAATCCTCAAGTCTTGAAGAGAAATCTTCCCAGCCAAAGTGAGGAAGCCGCAAAACAAAGAGGAGATCCTTAGATAACCTCTTTTCTGCAATCCATGGATAGCACCTGGGGAAGGGAATCGTTCACAACTTCACTCTAACAAGAAAAGACGCTCGTTCGGGTCATGGCTAGAGAAAGGGATCTGGCAAATCAAACACATCTGGGATGATGACAGGAGGGAGTGTAGGAACGAGAGACAACTCAAAAACAGCCTCAAAGGTTGCCATAATCTGGCCAGAACCCACAAGAGCTGATTGCGACAATCCCACAGAATTGGCTTCCAGTCCTTAGGAAGGAAAAGGGAGTGGTCAACAGGTGATTGGGCAGTGATGACCCATGTTGGCGTCCAGGAGCACACATTAGCCTAATGGGGTAGAGAGGACGGTAAGGAAGAATGGTTCACCTACCATGCACAAAATAGAGGAACCGTACTTAGACTACAGTGAAGTCAATAAGATCTCAGAAGCACAAGTATCTGTCATATTACGTTATAAGTTTATATTAACTTCATGACCAGGGTTACAGTAGGGAGTAGGGAGAACGGTAGGTCTACATATTTAGGGACTGATACAGACCACAAGAAGCGTACTAAACACAAGGCACTGCCGAACTAATAGAGGATGTCACCCAAATCCGCTCCTTGTAGCAAGAGCCAAGGCTAAGTAAACCACAGTCCCAGGTTCCAGGACCCGGGCCTCAGCAAGCCAGCAGTTACAGAAAAAAGGGATACTAACAGTGAGTAAATCCAGACCTAGGTTCGCGAGGATTCGAGGTTGCAGCAAGGGTAACAGCCAACACCTAAAAGCGGAAGGAAAGACAGCTAGGGATTAGGGCTTTAGCAAAGCTAGTAGCAACCAAGTTGGGTAGGGCTTAAGGTTTCTAGCAAAGACCTCGGCAAGGGGCCAAACCAGCAGTTCTAGTAAGTATAGAAAATCCGACAGTCAAGGAGCTGAGAGGAACAGGATGGTCGGAGCCCAACGAGGCAAGCTGCAAGAACCGAAGCGATAGGGTAATCACACCAGCAACCGGGCAGAAGCAAACAGAGCAGGCTAACTTAGCCAGGGGTGAAGGGTGGTACATCCTTCCGTCGGGACGTAAAAAATCCCGTCCTTCGGGCCTTCACACCATAAGGTGGAGGAGCGTGTGTGAGTGCGTCTTGTAATCCTTTCTGACTTGCCGGAGGAATAGGAACCGGGCTGATGCTAAGAGGAGCCAGAACCCTAAGGTTCTGTTTTTGGGGAAAAAAAAAACGAACTCTCAGTCCACGACCCCTGAACTGATGCCGGGGCCCCTTCGGAGCCGTGCACACCACATAAAGCAAGAGGGGGAGCACAGAGAATCACAGAGATGCACAGTTGGGCTTGCTTTGGAAGGTTCTGGAGCATCTTATGCACTTCAGTATTTTATACCAAGTTTCCTACTTTGAACAATCTACTTACTTGTAGTGTGTCCATGGTCTCCATCAAGATAGCCATTTGTATTCCTCTTTCTTGCACAATGGAAGTCAACCTCTCTACCTCCTCCTTTGCGTTCTTTGCTGCAATCTCTGCTTTGACCACATTCTCCTCATTCCCTGCTGCCCGCTTCTGCCTTTGTGAATTCAGATCAGCAACCAGGACCTGTGTAAGACATTAACAACGATAATGGTGAATTCACTGTTCAGCCCAGGCAGAGTTGATTTTTATGCTCTTTTGATAGAGTTATTGGTAACGACACCCAGAGCCAAATTAATCGCCATTGGGTTCAGGGACATCCTCTACCATTCCCATACGGTGTCGACACACCCAACCCCTCCTGTACGAGCCTGAAAAGGTGCAATAGCAGAGTGTTCTCCAGCTCTAAGAAGAGTGAATTGATCCACTGGTCCGAGGGACAATAGTTGTTCACCTTGTAACCAACCATTTCAAACAACAACAAACCCCTTGTTTGAGATTGGACGGAAGGTATTATCCTCAGTTGGATCCTGCTTGGACTACAGCACGCAGCAGTCCTTGTCAGGAGCTTTCTTAATTCGAGATAAGCATTTCATCTGTTGGGAACGAATTCGAGTCCTCCAGTGATCTGCCAGCAAACTTCTGTCTTACCTTGGCTGCAGGTACCTCAGTCTCCACACCTTGGTGTCCATGTGATGCAGCGAATGCCCTTTGAAATCAGATGGGAAGACGAGGTGGGGAGAAATATTTGTAATACAGTTAGCAACTTAGCAGAGGGAGGAGGGGGGAATAGGGTGCGAATAAAGTGTTGCACTAGGGGTGGGTTGGGGAGGAGTGTGAAGGAAATCATCAAGTTGGCAGCAGGAGAAGGAAAGTGTGGGTTGGTGAAACCAGTTTGCGAATGTTGAAATCATGGGGAGGGAAAGAATCTCGAAGTGTCAGCAGGAGAGGGGAAGGGCATTCAAAGTGGCTGGGCAAGAAATATAAGAGAGAGAGAGAGAGAGAGAGAGAGAGAGAGAGAGAGAGAGAGAGAGAGAGAGAGAGAG